GCCGTGCGGGCTGGGCTGCGGCCCTCCTTTGCGTTGGCAGGCGGCTGAGCCCAAGGAGCAGTGGGCCGGTCTCCGCACCCCGGAGGGGTCCCGCGGTGGGGGGCAGGCTCTGCGCTGGCCCTCAGCGCCGGCCCCATGTCGCCCGTGCAGGACTGGCCTTCACGCGGGATGGCCGCTACCTGGCCCTGGCCGAGCGGCGGGACTGCCGGGACTATGTGAGCGTCCTCGTGTGCAGCGGCTGGCAGCTGCTGAGGGTAAGCCGGCCCGGCCAGGCCTGGAGGGTGGCGTGTGGCGCGGACTGTCCACACACGCCGGGGTGTCCTGCCGAGCGGGCCGGGCCACGGGAGCCCCATCCGAAGGGGCCCAGCCCAGGGGGAGCCTGTGGCCTGCCCGAGCCCGCGGGCCGTCGGGGCGCAGCAGGAGGGTCTCAAGGGCCCCTCTTGTCCTCGGAAGCACTTCGACACGGACACCCAGGACCTGGCCGGGATCGAGTGGGCCCCCAACGGCTGCGTGCTGGCGGCGTGGGACAGCTGTCTGGAGGTAGCCGGGTGCCCGCACGCCCCTGACGAGGGCCCACGTGCCCTCCGCCTCAGTCTGGCTCCCACGGCCCCGCCCGCCCCGCACTGTCCACGGCGCTGCCCCCGGCGCTGTGCGAGCTGACGGGCCGTCTCGCCCGCAGTACAAGATCCTGCTGTACTCCCTGGACGGCCGGCTGCTGTCCACGTACTCAGCTTACGAGTGGTCGCTGGGGATCAAGGCCGTGGCCTGGAGCCCCAGCAGTCAGTTCCTGGCAGTGGGGAGCTATGACGGGAAGGTGAGGCCGGCGGGGGCGGGCGGCCGGCGGGGGCGGGGGGCAGCAGGGCGCCTGAGCGTGCCCCCCTCGCCAGGTGCGCATCCTTAACCACGTGACCTGGAAGGTGCTCGCGGAGCTTGGGCATCCCGCCACCGTCACGGACCCCAAAGTCGTGAGTGAGCGGCAGCGCCGTCACGCCGGACGCACCAGGCACTGTGGCCCGGCCCCGCCCGCGTCATCAAGCGGCTGTGGCCAGAGCCGCGCCCGGGCCGCCCTGCGGCTTCCGCCAGTGCGGCAGACCGGCCCCAGCTGGCACTGGGCCCCTGCCCGCGCGTCTCCCCAGGGTGGGTGGGGTGGGGCTGACGGGCAGGGCAGTGCCCACTAGCAGGCCCAGCGTGGCCTCCCTGCAGGTGGTGTACCAGGAAGCCGAGAAGAGCCCGAGGCCGCCGCTGGGCCGCCACCCTTTCCCCCCGCCCCCGGGCCGCCGCTCCGCCGCCACCGAGAGCAAATGTGAGCGTCGGGCGCGGGCGCTCTCTTCAGGGGCTTTTGCCCACGGGCCCCGAAATGCAGGCTCCCGGCCCGGCCGAGGGCGGCTGGCCGGCAGGGAGGCCCCAGCCCTCTCTCCTGTGAGGCCGGGGTGGCCGGCCCGGGGCCAGCATGAGGAACGCCGCGCAGGGCGACGCAGCGCCGAGGCCGGGCTGGAGTGGCGTCTGCAGGGAGGCCTTCCGGGCGGGGGACGGCGCCTCGTGCAGGGACGCGCGACAGGCCTCGACACTTAGAGGGACCAGACGCCCCCTGCTTTCAGTGTCCAGGCCTTGCTGTCTCCAGCTGAGCGCTCACCGGCCGGGGTATCGGGTGGCACGCCCCACCCAGCTGACCGCTGCCCTCTGGTATTCTAGTCGAGGTCGCCTCGGTACCAGTGTCCCTACAGGCCCTGAAACCCGTGACTGACAGGGCGAACCCCAAAATTGGCATCGGCGCACTGGCCTTTAGTCCCGACAACTACTTTCTGGCAACGAGGAACGGTCAGTGTCCACTGTCCTCAGGGCTGGGCAGGCTGGCACTGCAAGGGCGCTGCTGAGCGCGGCCACAGAGCCCGCAGGAGCACGTGGGCGGGCAGCAGGGCCGGCCTGGCTGCCCCGTCCAGTGAAGAGCAGCGTCGGCCCCGGACGCAGAGGGCGCATGTTTGCAGGTTGCAGGGAAGCGGAAGCCCGTTGTGCGCTTGGGGCTGAGCCTGGGGGCGCAGCTGTGTGTGGGGGGGACCAGCCCCGCCCGCTCGGGCTGTGGGTGGCTGAGACAGGCCGCTCCCACCCCCAGACAACGTGCCCAACGCCGTCTGGATCTGGGACGTGCGGAAGCTGAGGCTGGCCGTGGTGCTGGAGCAGCAGGCCCCCGTGCGCGCCTTCCAGTGGGACCCGCGGCGGCCCCGGCTGGCCGTCTGCACGGGAGGCAGCAAGGTGTACCTGTGGTCGCCCGCCGGCTGCCTGTCTGTGCAGGTGCCCGGGGAAGGTGAGTCCCAGGCCCCAGGGCCGCGTCTCTGGGCGACGGGCCCCGCCGGGCATGTGTCCCGGGAGCCCCCTGTGCAGGCTGCCCGTCAGGCCCGTGAGGCCTGGGACCCCGGACGCCTGCCCTGACCCTTGGGCTGTCCCCCAGGCGACTTCCAGGTGCTGTCTCTGGGCTGGCACTGCCGCGGGGACGCGCTGGCCCTCCTCAGCAGAGACCACTTCTGCCTGTGCTTCCTGGAGGGCCAGGAGGGTGTCGGCGCAGCCATGGGACAGCAGGGGGGCCACGCCTAGGGAGCCCCCCCCCGCCTCCTCTGTGTGCAGACCCCGCTGTAAATATGTACTGTACTTTCTTATTTAAAATAGATGTTAACTTAGGGACCAGTTGATGCTTATTTTTTCGAAAGATCTGTCAGGGAGAGCTTCTGAGCTCGTTTTCGGTTGTGGGCTCTGTCCGGCAGACCTGGTGAGCCCCAGGTGGCTCCCGAGGGGCTTGCTCTGCAGTGCGGGGAGGGGCAGCCAGGGGCCCCCAACCTGACCACCGTGCGGCCCTGCTGGACTGGGGCCGGCCCCTGGGCTCCGCACGCTGCGGAGGGCAGGCTGAGCCGGGGCCTGCTGGGGGAGGGGTGGCCCCTTGTGTCCCGAGCCAGCCCAGCCAGCGCAGGTCCAAACAGTCCCCAACCAAAGGGCAATGTCTTGACGGTCACCCTTCCGACGACCGCGCAGAAGGGCACTGCCCACCCGCTGCCCACGTGGTTCCGCTGGCAGTAAGGCCCAGCCTGCGGCAGGCTGCCGCGCCCAGCTCACGTGCCACTTGGCCCGCCGTGCCGAAGCCGGGAGGCCGACACCTGCAAGTGCACGTCCTTCACCCGGAGGCCCGGTCAGGCCAGCCAGCCGGGAGGGTGCGGGCTGCCAGGGCCCCAGAGAGGCGGCCGCACTGCGCAAGACCCTCAACTGGCCTCTCCGCCACCACCGCGGGGCAGACCCAGCCCGACCCACGCACAGCGGGAGACCCTCCACTGTGACCAGGCGGACACGGGGCCCACGGGGCCTGCAGGCGGCTGGGCCCAAGCACGAGGCGACAGGTGAGCGTCAGAAGCAGACTTTACGCCAGACGCAGGCACACAGAGCCGCTCCCGCGCCGAAGCGATGCTCCCGCTCAGCTGCTCAGGGCTGAGCTATGGGGCCGGTTCCGGGCTCCGACCCCCACCACGTGCGCGGGCGTCTGGGCTCAGGCTGCGGGGCGTGCCGGCGGGGCGCGCTCGGACTCACGGGGGGGTGGTAACATGCTGGGGCGCCGGGCGGGAAGGAGCAGGAGCCACACGGGACGCCCGGCCACAGGAGACGGCAGCCCTGGGCGGCGGAGACCCAGCTGGCACGGGCCGTGAGGCCCTTGGGTCCCGGGCAGTGCGGGGCTCAGTGCCACGCCGCGCCCGGCCGAGGAGCCCACGCAGCCTGGCCGGCGGGAGCGGCACCCGCTAGAAGCCGATCTTGCCCCTGGTCATGGAGTAGCCCAGCTTGGCCTCGTTGTTAATGAAAGACATGAGCCCCACGTAGGTCTCGATGAGCAGGGGCCGCTCGAGGACCAGCACGCTGCTGGCCCGTCCCGGCAGGGAGCCCCCCTGGGCCTTCTTAACAGCCTGGATCAGCAGGGCCTTGAAGCTCTCCAGCTTGAAGAGAAAACGCAGCGGTACACTCCCGCAAGGAGAAGGCCAGCCCGCCACCCTGCCGAGAGGCGCCGCCCAGAGGCGGCGGCAGCCCGCCCTTGCCTGGCCTCTGGCGGCTCTGGTCCAACGGTGAGTCCCCAGTGTGGCCCCAGCGCGGCTTCCGCAGGCCTACGTGTCGCCCGGGGGTGCCAGGCCCTCCCACCCCCAAGCCGAGGCCTCTGCTCTCGGAGAGCCCCTCACATGCCAGCAAAGCCCTGGGCCCTGCCCAAGATGACCTGGCAATGAGAAGCCATGTCACGGCTGTGCTGACCACTGGCCACTGCCAGCTGCTCGGCCCTGGACTCACGCAGCTCATCTGCTGAGTGGTCCAGCAGCTCGCAGGCCGCAGCTGCCCTGCTGGGAGGGTGGCGCTGCCCTCTCACCTGGCACAGAGAGGCTGTCTTCTCGTCGGCACCAGCCATCGGGTGCTCGATGAAGGTGGCGTAGGGCACGTTGGTGGACCAGGGGTTCCACCTGTTTATGAAGGAGGGCCGGCTCTGCTTGTCCCACTGGACACGGATCCCCCACCCTTCTCGCCTGGCGAGGTAAAGGACAGGGCTGACGTCACGCAGAGGCCACAGCCCCGCCGCGCTCGGCCCGTGACAGCAGGCGAGACGGGCCCTGCGGCTACGCCGGGGAAGCGCCGTGCCAAGTCCTGGGCGAGATGTCAGTGACCACTGCTGATGTTCCGGCATCAGCGAGGGGAACTTAACCTTGGCATGGTAAGACTGAACAGGCCCCGGCGTCAGAGGGCTGCAAGGCTCCCGTCCACCCTGGCCCCTCTGAGGCCACTCTGCTGAGCCTCCTCAGCGCCCCCTTCAGGCCTCCTGCAACACGGCCAGTTTAGCTCAATGGGCTGCACTGACCAGTCGGTTTCCCTAAAGCTCGGATTCGGGCTCTGGGGTTGTCCCCTGGCGCTTTTAGCGAGGCCCCCTGCTCCCTGGTGCGGGCACGGGCGGTGCTCCGGCCGCGCCCCAGCCCCTGCGCAGGGCTGCCCTGGTGGGCCCGCGCAGACTCACTTGTTGAGTGACTTGGGGGGGAACTGGAACTCCCCAAAGGAGATGGTGTCCACGGCGTCCAGGGCGATCCTGACCACCTGCTGGCACTGCAGGCTGATGAAGTCGTACTTGCAGATGAGCAGCGCCTGGTCAGTGACCAGCACGAGCCGCTCCTTCTCGTTGTTCCAGTGGTCCACCCTGCGGAGGGTGGGGCCTCAGGCGCCGGGTGGGTCCAGCGCGCGCGCAGTCCGCCCCGCCCCG